TAACAATTTCTCCTCAAGAGGAAATTTCCCCTCAAGAGGAAATTTCCAAATATGAAGTTGATAGAACTTAATTCATAATGCAAGGCCCTGGAAATGCACTGACATATCCACAAACCAAGAAGAAAGTTTAAATATACTTTTTTGGAAATAGAAATTTTTCAGTGAACATAAATTAATGAAGAGGGAGACAAAAAGAATCAAGAGGAAGAATCAAGTAAACCAAAAGCTACTCATTTGAATATATTAATAAAATGGACAAAATATTTTCAAAATTAATCACAAAAAATTCCCAAGTAAGCAATGTGAAAAATGCAGAGAAGGAATAGCTATTGTTATATAGGCACTTTTAAAAATCCCATGACTGCTATAAGCAATACTAGTTTCTTTAAATACTAAGTATTGGTTCAAGGTGAAAGAGAAAAATTTAAATATGATTGTACATAGAGATCAAATCAATAATAGTATTTTAAATTTTTATTCATAAAAATGACATTGGTCTCCACACACCCAAGAGAAATACTACAGACTAGTAACTATTATGAAGATAGTTACAAGAATCCTAAGTATATATAATCCTAAGTATCGTGTGTGTGTGTGTGTGTGTGTGTGTGTGTGTGTGTGTGTGTGTGTGTGTAAACTCTATCCAGCACAATTTTAAAAATTCTTTATATGAGGAATGCAGGGATAGTTCAAAATTGACCTATCAAATAATATAATTCAACACATTTAAAACTTCAGATAAAAGTGTTATTATAATGGATGTTACTTTTCCATCATCTCTATACTCTTTCTTGAGTAGATTATGGTAACTCTAATGGGGGAAGAATGTTTCTAGCATCCCTGCTCTGTCCCTGTAGAAGCTCACATAGCATCCTGTGTATACTAGGTTTTTAAAAACTGACTTGCTTGGCCACTGCAGCCTCTCAGGTAAGGCTATCCAGAATTCCTTCCTTCGTATATATTCTTTCTCTCAAGGTTGGATGAGGTTGAATACAATGACCATCAGGATATAAATCCTACTAGAGGCAGGGTGTTTGAAAACATAAAGATAAGTACGCTTTAATATAATTGCTGCCAGAAGAGATGTGTACAAAATACCATTTAGCTTTTACTCTTTGGAGCCAGTTAATAGTTTTCGGTTTCAATTGCCTAACTAATTTTCTTTTTCTTGGGCATTTCCCCCCCACTTTTCTCATTTGGAAGGGATAGTGCAATAAAAACAAAGAAGCAGAAATATAGGACTAGATAAACCAGGACCCAACAGCTGCCAGGTCTCTTTTGGATTTGGCTTGCAAAGTTGAAGGCTACAAATTGAGGCATCTTAGAGAATGGCCAGGATAAGCAGCATTCCAGAACCTTACTGTTGTTGATGACTCCATGGGGTATGGGGCTCTGTACTTCTCCATCTTCTCAATATGTGTGCAGAGGGCCAGAGCTCTGCGTTCTTCCTTCTCATTTTTCCCAGAGGTGACTGGGTGGGAGGGTCCTTCAGCTTTGGCTGACCCCACGGGAGTGGGAGTGAGGTCAGAAATTGCTAGAAGCCTCACTTCCGCCCAGGCCCAAGCTGGTGTCCTCTACAG